AAGATTTTTTTTAATGAGAACAGTTTAAGGGACATCTGAGCCAAAATCAAGTCACAGATATCACATTATAGGGATTCCAGAAAAGAAATGAACAGAAACTTTAAGAAATAATGGCTGAAAACTTTTCTAACCTGTAGAAGGAACAGACATTCTGGTCCAGGAAGCACAGAGAGTTCGAAATAACAGGAAGGAAATACTCAAACAAAACAGAGAAAAAAAAGTAGCAAAGGTCAATAAAACTAGAGCTAATGCTTTGAAAAGACAAATAAAATGGACAGATATCTAGCCAGACTTAAAAAGAGAGGGGGCCTAAATCAATAAAATCAGAATGGAGGAGAGATGACAACCGACACCGCAGAATACAGAGTGCCATTAACTGTGAACAATTACATGCTAAGGAATCTAGAGGAAGTGGATACATTTCTAGAAACAGAACAGTCTTCCAAGAGTAAACCAGGAAGGAACAGGGAATCTGAACAGACCTATTACCAGCAGTGACGTTGAAGCTGTCGTCAGAAAACTCCCAACAGACAGAAGCCCAGGGCCGGAGGGCTTCACAGGTGAACCTACCAAATGTCCTTGAAGCATTCCAAACAACTGAAGGGGAAGAATGCCTCCAAACTCTTTCTACGAGGCCAGCATTAGCCTGACACCAGATCCAACAAAGACACCACAGAGAGTCGCAGGCCAATATCCCTGATGAACAGATGCAAACGTTCTCAACAAAACATGAGCAAACCGAATCCAAAAATACATTAAAGAAGATTATGCACCATGCCCAAGTAGGACTTACACCGGGGATGGAAGGGTGGTTCAATATCCACATATCAATTAACATGATGGATCACATCAACAAATCCAAGGATAAAAATCATATGAAAATCTCAACAGATGCGGAATAATTCAACATCCATTTGTGGCAAAACTCTCAACAAGCTGGGTATAGAAGGAACTTACCTCAAGATGAGAAAGTCTAGATATGACAAGCCCAGAGCTAACTTCATAGTTAATGGTAAAAAGCCGAAAGCTTTTCCTCCAGGATCAGGAGCAAGACAAGGATGCTTACTCTTACCACTGTTAATCAGTTAAGCATTGGACATCCCAGCCACAGCAACGAGACAATAAAAAGAAAAGGCATCCAGATTGGAAAGGAAAAAGTCAAATGGTACCTATTAGCAGGAGACGTACTATATAAAAAAAAAAAAAAAGCCCTCCGAAAAATCCACCAAAAAGTCAATAGAATAAATGCAACAACATAATAGGATAGATAAATACACAGAAATCTGGCACAGTCCTTTTCATTAATAATGAATGATCAGAAGGAGAAATTAAGAAAACAATCCCATTTGCAATTGTATAAAAAAGAATAAAATAACTAGGGATAAATTTAACCAAGGAGGTGAAAAAACTGTACTCATGAAACTGTAAAACACTGAAGAAACTGAAGAGGACACAAATAAATGCAAAGATATACCTGCTCATAGATTGGAAGAATATCTTTAAAATGACCATACTATCCAAAACAATCTACACATTCAAAGCAGTGCTCCTCAAAATACCAATGCCACTCTTCTCAGAACAAGTCATCTTAAAATTTATATGGACTCACAAAAGACCCCGAAGAGCCAAAGCAATCTCAAGAAAATACAAAGTTTAAGGGATCACACTCCCTGATTTCAAATTATAATACAAAGCAATATGAACCAAAACAGTATGGTACTAGCACAAACACAGACACATAGATCAATGGAACAAAATGGAAGAGCCCAGAAATATACCCTTGCTTACATGGTCAGTTAATCTATGACTTAGGAGGCTAGACTATACAATTCTGAAATGACAGTTTCTTCAGTAAGTGCAGGTGGGAAAACTGGACACTCTTACACCATATACAAAAATAAACTCAAAATGGTTTAAAGACTAAATGTAAGCCTAGAAACCATGAAACTCCTAGAAGGAAACATAGGTAGTAAACTACTTGACATCAGTCTTAGTAATATCTTTTGGGGTATGTCCCCTCAAGCAAGGAAGACAAAAGCAAAAACAAACAAATGAGACTTCATCAAACTAAAAAGTTTCTGCACAGCAAAGCAAACCATCAACAACAACAAAAAACAACATACTGAATTGGAGATTATATTCACAAATGATATACCTGGTAAGGGGTTGATACCCAAAGTGTATAAGGAACTCATATACTTCAATAACAACAACAAAAAAAATCTGATCAAAAAATGGACAGAGGACATGAAGAGACATTGCACTTAAGAAGACGTACATACACATGGCCAACAGACATGTGACAAGATGCTCAGCATCACCAATCATCAGAGAAATGCATATTAAAGCCACAATGAGACATCACCTCACACCAGTCGGAATGGCTCTTATCAAAAAGTCAACAGGTGTGCGTTGGCGAGGACGTGCAGAAAGGGAATCCTTGTGCAGTGTGCGTGCAGGACTGCACACTGTGGCTGCCACTGTGGAAACAATGTACAGGTTCCTCGAAAAATTAAAATTCGAACTCCATAGGACCCAGCAATTCTTAGGGGTATTTATTCAAAGAAAACAACAGTAATTCGAAAAAGTACATGCACCCCCGAGTTCACTGCAGCATTCTTTACAATAACCAAGAAATGGAAGCAACCTAGGCGTCCACTGATAGATGAATGGATAAAGAGTATGTGGTATATGTACACGATGGAATATTATTCAGCAATAAAAAATGAAATTTCACCATTTGTGACAACATGGGTGAACCTGGAGGGTATTATGGTAAGTGAAACAAGTCAGAGAAAGACAAATGCCACATGATGTCACTTATGTGTGGAATATTTTCAAAAAATCAAAACAAATGAATAAAACAAAGACTCCTAGAAACAAAGAACAAACTGATGGTTGCCAGAGGGGAGGGGCGGGTGGAAAGGCAAAGGGGAATAGTCAATAATAGTGCGATAGTGTGGTGAGCACCTAGTAAGATATATAAATGTCAAACCACTATGTTTTATGCCTAATACTATACGCCAACTATACGTTAATAAAGAAAATCCACCTGATGGTTGCCGAAGGGGGTAGGGTAATGGTGAAAAAAAAATCTTTAAATTTTTTTCAAAGCAATATGCCTCGACATAATTTGCAAACTGCTATTTGAATGTATCCTTTCTTGGTTTTTCCCCTTACATTTTTATAATACATTCACGTATTCATTGGAACCATAACGGCATAGCAAGTAAACATTTAAGATTATCAGATTCCATGCTGATATTTTTATACTTAAGATGTTTTTATCAGAGCCATTGGTATTTATTATAAAATTATGGTGACGTCTGCAGAACTCCGAATACACTAAAGGCACTGAACTGTATGCTTTAGATTGGTGAATTGTATAGTGTGCGAATTTTACATCAATGAAGCTGTTTTTTAAAAACAAAATATTCTTACGGGGACAGACTCATAACTGCTCCTCTGTGACCAGCAGTGCCTGTAATCTGTGCTCTTTTCTCTTGACTGCAGAAGTCTGTGGCCCAATGACATCTTTGGAAGCAGTTCTGATGACGAGGTCCAGACACTACTGAACATTTATTTCCGCCACCAGACCCTGGGCCAGACGGGCACTTACGCATTGGTGGGGTCCAACCAGAGCCTGACCGAAATCTGCACCAGGCTGATGGAGCTGAACGTGGAGATCCGGGACATGGTCCGCAGGGCGCGGAGCTACCGGGTCCTCACTGCCTTCCTCCCAGACTCCAGCGTGTCAGGCACGAGCCTCTGACAGAAGCTCCCCGTCCCCCGCGGGCCCCGAGCTGGGGGTGCTGCCGCGCTGGGGCCACCTCATTCAGTGTCTTCTCAGCCTTCGGAAGGCTCAGCCAGACTGTCCTCACTCTTGGTACCTGTTGGACTTTTTCTAAAGAAGATGACGGCACTTCCAATGCGTAGCGGTCCTGTCGGAACCAAGGCAGCACAAAGCCTCCCGGGCCGGACGCCACCCGTCACGCTGTGTGACACAAACGTGTTATCAATTCACGGAGCAGACGCGACTCACTACTGAAGCAGTGACTTCATTGCAAACCAAAGCCGACAACATTGAACAATACCTTCCTTTCTAGAAACAACTTTCGATTGGCAAAAGTGCAATGTTTTCTTTACTAAGAAAATTTTATATTATAAAACTTGTACATTCTTTCCCTTTATTTTCCTTCCCCCCCCCCTTTTTTTTTAATTTGCTGGGCTGAGGAAGGACAGGCAGAATGAAGCTGGCCATTGAAAAAGGAAAGACGGTCAAAAGCTGACAGCCTGTACATGTGGAAGGGGCTGTAAACAGACGAGTCCACGTACACTGTAATTTGAACGCAATCACTGCACCTAAGGGAGATGCTGTGACGCATCCGCTTCCCGTTGCTAGGCTACTGTCTCTTAGAGCCCCGGGCCTCTCTGCAGGAGTCTGTGATCAGGACCTTGGCACCAAACTGGTCCAGATAGATCCTTTTTAAAGGATCTTGGCTGCTTTTTACTAGAAGGTTGCTTTTATGAGCATATTTATACTACAAAAGGATGAGTGTTAATTTTAACCAACTTTGCCATTTTGTAGAAAAAGAGTTAAATACACCCATATTATAAATTCCAAGTCTTTTCACCTGTCACGCATGCATATTTTAATATCCATTTGGACAGCCAGAAGTAGAATCATAAAGGTAAAATATGAGTTGTCACTTTAAGAAATGTCATACTTTCTTTGTAATATTTATGGAAAGGGCCATTCTTAAGTTTTTCCTTAAACTCAATGCGGTCAAGTGTTAGCCGTGTGTGCATGTAAACCTGCTGCACATCAGAACATACTCAAAGTTGATCTACGTAACTTATTCACTCTGTAAATACATTTAAAGTTTTCGTGATGTAATCTTGGTTGATGTCCTGTTCAGAACTTCCTTTAGACTAAAAAAAAAAAAAAAAAAAATACTTATTGAGCATTGCCTTTATTTCTGGTTAAGAAGAATTTACCATTTGGGATGTGGGTTGCCACAGCGACGGCCCCAGGGGCACCATTTGTAGTTGTCCCATGAACGGCACCACTGGGGTTTTGTGGCAGCACAGTGGCCCTATACAGCAGGAGTTCTCGACAACTTCCACTTGGAAATGGACACCAAACAAAGACTGTGACCATCAACCAGCTCTCTCTGCAATCAACCAGAGAAATCAGAAGAGCTCCGACTGTCCCCGGCCTGTCATTAGGTTGTCATCCTTAAAATTTCAAAATAGACTCTATAATGAGCAGCAAACAGTAATCAGTCCTTTAATTCTGTCACCAACGCCCATCTATTCTCCACCCTACTCAAGGACAGAGACACACAACGATCTAATTTCTACCGTCCTATTCCTATTTACTTAGGCTAACAAATATCACTGGCTTTCCTTACAACGATTGATGCATAAGTAGTAATTTTCTGGAAGTATCCTACAGCAGTGGGTCTGACTCAGGAATTTTTTGTTACCAGAAGTACAGCTATTAACCGATTTTAATTTTCCTAACTCATAGCCCCACCCCCGGACTGGCAGTAACTGTCAACATTCCTGCAGCGTTACAACTTTCCACTGCAAAAAAAATTCTTCTGATTTCTTTCAATTTACCTGAAAGATGACTTACCAGAATTTGTAGATAACCGAATAATCATCGCTCTGAAAATTATCTCAAAAATACCTCAAAAAATGCAGGTGTCTGTAGGTGACCACGCTAGCCAATTCCCAGAGTTCTTTGGGACCTGCTGTCAAAAGGACCACGCAGCCCATGGCTGCATTTTCTCCCACACTCTCTCACCCAGCAAGGAAATGCCATGAAGGGTTACGCTTTAAAAGGGGGGATTTCAATGGTATTTTGTAATCTGCAGTCATCGGAAGTAGTGGGGTTTCTCCTTTGTTCTTAATTTTATAAAAGAAAAAGAGGTGACATCAGCATCGTGGCAGAGTGTGAAGACTCTTATTTCTCAGACAGACATCCAGAACTCAAAGGATCCTCTGCTCAACGTACTAACGCAAGGTATGAGGTGGGTGGGTTGAAACAAGTAGGGGAGGCGGGATGGGGAGAAGGACAGGGCCGGTGGCCACAGGTGCACTTCGGTGCCCACAGTGGCTCCAGTGAGTATGACAGTGGTGAAGAAATTGGGTTTCAGCCTTTAGGCTATGGACTGGATTGCAAGAGAGGAAGAAGGATGGTCCCCCAAGAAAGGCATCTCCCCCACATCACAGCAGACCCCGGTGGAGGTGGCTGGGAAGCCCTCAACGGAGCAGTGGTGCTGACAGTTATTGCTGGTGTCAGGGTGGAGCTGTGAGGTTATGAACTTGTCATCCTCGCCCCACCCATCCGAGCAGAGCCTGTTAAAGGCACTGGAGATGCCTCCAAAACACAGCAGGACCAGTGACCGTCAGCAAAAAGAAAGTAGTACTGGGGACCTGCACCAATTCACCACCACCCTCCACATTCCCCCACCATGGCAGTGGTGCCCCATAAACAAGGCGAGCCAGTAACAGGGACACCCGCCATCCCAGTGGGCAGGCGGCGCTTTCCTTAACTGAAGCGATGCTGCACTACTGTGATCCCAGAGGCATAAACACAGCAGTTAGAGCAAACAAAAGCATGCACTGTGACGCCATCTACTGGAAAACAAAAGAAAGTACCCTATCAACCTGCTGAATGGTTAGGAGCAAACAGAATCTAAAGAAGAGAGTGTGCTACGTCAAATGTGCAGGCAAAGAAATTCATCACATAACATGGACGACCAAGTTAACTTGGAAGCCCAGAAAGAAAATGAAAAGTCTCCAGAAACGAAGTCATGGAAGACTGTGACTTAAATGGCAGAGAACTTAAGATTGCGGTTATAAAGAAGCAAAACAAAACACAAGAAAACAGGCAGTTCGATGAGCTCATCGAGAAAATTGATGAACAAACAGTATTTGGTCAAAGAGACTGAAACTATAAAAGTGAACTGAACAAATTCTGGAGCTGAAAAACTCATGAATAAGATGAAGAATGCATTGGAGAGCATTGGAAAAAGAGCAGATCATAGAGAAGAGAGAATTAGTGGACCCGAAGATAGAAACCGAGAAATTATTCAAGTGGAAGAACTGAGAGAACAAAGAGTTTTAAAAATGAAAGAATTCGACAAGAACGATACGATGCCATTAGAAAGAACGACATAAGGAACCTGGATAATGGGAACGCAAGAAGGAGAAAAGAAAAGGGAAGTAACACAGAGCCAACTCAAAGAAATAACTCATGAGAACGTCCCAAGCCTATCAAAAGAACTGTGCTTTAGAATAAAGTAACCTAAGACGACATGTACTTACACTGATGCAAAAACACCTTCACCGAGACACATTTTATTCAAAGTATAAAATATTGATGACAATTCTCAAGGCAGCCAGAAATAAAAAGGCTGTACCCTACAAAGGAAACCCATTATATTGTCTTCAGATTTTTTCAGGAGAAACATTACATTATGGGAAATACTGGAAGGTTTTGAAATATTGAAAGAGAAAATTATCAGCCAAAAATAACATATTCAGCAAAGCTGACCTTTAGATATGAAGGGGAAATAAAGGCTTTACCAGACAAAAGCTGACAGAATTTACCACTAGACCTGCGTTACGAGAAATGGTTAAAGGAGCTCTTACACCAGAAACGAAAAGCCGAAAGCACATGGAACTTTGAGTAAGATGATTGACTGACAGAAAGAAGAAATTGCAACTCCACTTCAGAACAGAATATTCAACTTAATCATAACAACAGTTAAAGCAGAGAAGGAAGCATTAAAAGTAGCCAGGACTACTGAAAATTGGTAATAATGTACATCAGTAGAGTTAATCTGTGACAACAAAAGCGAAGAGATGGAAATTATACAGAGAGATGCAATGAGGAAAAAATGATTATTGTATATATGAAACATCTTTTTTCACATAAACCTAATGATAACCACAAAACAAATATAAAGAGCTGAGACAGGGAACACACAAAAAAGCAAAGAAACGGGGTGGAAAACATCAAATAAAATTACAGAAAAACAAGGGAAAAGAAACAACAAATATACAGACAACCATAATATAAAAAAAATAAAATGGCTATGGTTAAGTCCTCTAACACCCTCAACATAAATGGAGAGAATTCACCAATCAAAGGGCATGCGATAGATTAAAAACAAGTAGAGTGAATAACAAGGCCCAGCTACACGTTGCCTGCAGGAGACCCATCTCAGCTCCAATACGCATCCAGACCCGAAGGGAAGAGTGGAACGTGATGCTCCCAGCAAATGGCATCCAGTGCATAGCAGCTTCTATCACACTACAAAGATTTCAAGATAAAAAAGGAAACAAGAGTCAAAGAGAGATGTTTTATAATGATAAAAAAGACAACCGGGAAGACATAACACGCCAATATATACTCACCAAACCTGGGAGCACCAAAGTATATAAAGCAATTACTAACAGACCTAGAAAGGGAAACAGACACAGATACGATCACGGTGACCTGCACATCCACTCACAGCAACAAAAAGATCGTCCAGGTAGAACGTCTACAAGGAAATATCAGCCTTAAGTGACACATGAGGAGGCATGAATTGATGTGCGCAGAACTTTCCATCCCGAAAGGACAGAATACTCGTACTTCTCAAGTGCACGCAGGACATTCTCAAGGACAGACCATATGCTGGGGCACCAGACTAGTCTCAATAGGTTTAAGAGGACTGACATATCAAAAATATTTTTCAATCGCAGTGGTACAGTACTGGAAATTCACTACCAACAACAACAACAACAACATAACTGCAAATATGTGGAGATTAAAAAACATGCTACTGAACAACCACTGGGTTAAAGAAGTGAAAGAAGAGATCAAGAGATACACAGACAAATGAAAATGAAAATACAACAGACCAAAATTTGCAACATGGAGCAAAAAACAGCACTGAGGGGCAGTTCACAGTGTTACAGGCCAACCGCAAGAAACAAGAAAAACCCCAAATAAACAATCTTACACCTTCAAGAAACACAAAAAGAAAAGCAAACAAAGCCCATAATCCGTAGAAGACAGGAGATAACAAAAATCAGAGTGAAAAGAAATAATACAGAGGACAAAAAAAAAAAAAATGAATAAAGCCAAGAGCTGGTTCTTTGAAAAGAAAATTGAAAAACCTTTGGTTAGGCTAAGGACAAGAGAGAGAAGACTCGAAAAAATAAAATCAGATATGAAAGAAGTTACATAAAACATCACAGAAATACAAAGATTTATATGGGAATACTACGAAAAGCTATATGCCACCAAATTCGATAGCCTAGAAGAAGTGGACAAATTCCTAGAAGAATACTACCTTCCTATTCTGAATCACGAAGAGGTGGAAACCTCAACGAACCAATCACCAGCACGGAAACAAACAGTAATGCAGTAATCAAAAACGCCCCAAAAAACAAAAGTCCAGGACAGAGGGCTTCCCAGGTGAATTCTACCAAACATTCGAAGATTTAACACCAGTCCTTCTCAACCTCTTCAAAATTATTGAAGAAGGGCAAATACTTCTTAACTCATTTTACAAGGTCCACATTACCTTGACACCAAAACCAGACAAGGACCACACACACACACACACACACACACACACACACACACACACGAAGCCACTATTTCTGATGAACACTGAGGCAGAACTTCCAAACAAAATACTAGCAAATCGAATACGATACATTGAAAGGATCACGCATCACAATCAAGTGGGGTTCACTCCAGGGACAAAAGCATGGTTCAACATTTCAAATCAATCAATGTGACACACCACATAAACAAAAGAGAAAAATCATATCAATAGTTGCCGAAGCATTTCACAAGATACATCCATTTATGATTTAAAAAAATAAAAAACACCCGATACCATGGATACAGAAGGAAGCTACCT